ACAAATTACCTGACAGTTGACGCAAACATTTTTAAAAAGTGGAAAGAGGTGAACAAATTACATTTTGCTTTTTACACCGCTGGTCTTCCCTGCTTTTTTGCACAAATGGCATTAATTGAATAATTCAGGAAAACCTTTTTTTTTCTCCGTAAAAAGCCAAAGAAAATAACTTGATAACTGAACCCATAATAAGCTTGCAGTAATAATACTGCCCCAGTGTCCCTGCCACCTGATAGAACATTGACGTGGACCTAAGGAGAGGGAAAGGGGATGTGCCAATTCAGCCATGATAGTCCTGGAAGCAGTTAAAACTTTATAAGGTAGAGCAAAAACGAGAACAATGCCTGTTCCAACTGAAAACACTGTAGAATCTTGCTGCCGTTCATTAACCACAAGAGAGCTGGCAGAATCCCCTAAGTGAATTCTGACCTTGATTTCTCTGAGGGGCGCTCATTCTTCTATATCCTATTTCTTCAAAACATACATCAGGCATTGGATAATCTCTTATTGACACATTTCTTTTTATTCAAAGTGAACAGCAGACTTCTCTTATACTACTTACTAAATACCAGCTGTCAAGGGCCTGTTTAAAAATGAACAGACTTATCACCTTGTGTAAATGACAAGATTAATAATGTCTTGGATTTCTGAGAACTTTATTCCAGTTATAGACCTTGTTAAGGGCAAGGCCAGGGGTTTGAATGAAACCGTGTTCCTTTCCAGGATGCAGAATACATACATACATACTTACATACATACATACATACATACATACATATAAAATGTTCCCCAAAGCACATGCGGAAATCATTCTAATTATCCAAAGTGGAAAGGCAGGTCTTAAGTCTATAAAGTCACCTTAAATGAATTGTGACTTAATGATGATTACAACCAATATGGATTCACCATGAACAAGTATTAGGGGAAAAAAAAATTGTGTTCAAAGAGCTAGCTATTGCATAAGTACCCCAAATCTGCAAACATATCATAGATGAGAACTGGCCTTGATTGAAGTAGATAGGGGGTCTATGGGTCATCTTGCCTTTGTTCAAGATGAGTGTATAGAAACATGGAGGTATGAGGGGACTTACCAAAGAATGGAGGGAAAGCTAAGAGCAGGGTGAGGCCAAAGCTAAAGTAATGTGCTACATCTACCCAGCGGAACTTTTGTACAGGTATCTACAAGACATCAAAGGAGAGGACATCAAAAATATCCAGAATAAAAAAGGAAGGAAAAAAGAAAACCTCAACAAATCATCAAGATGTGTGCCTACTTAACATTCAACAAATGGGTGTTTCCAGATGTAAATGAAACTCAAAATAATTAACGGTTTTCATGCTTCCCCTGCATATTTGAGGACCTATTCTGGAAAGAACTTTCATCATCCAACTCTCTGCTTTTGCTCCTGCCCTGCTCTACCTCTCAGTGCCAGCTCTTGCTCCTGAAAGCAAACAGGGACAATTTCAGACTGTTGAAACGTAAAAGTATTGAAGCATTGTCTGTCTCAATAAAAATTTCCAGCCAATTGCTACACCATAGCAGTGTGGCTATGTAATATTGTACAGAAACTTTAAGGAATATGGGGAAAATAATTAGGACTTCCAGGATAAAGAAACTTAGATATTATTATAGAGCTTCCATTTTATGACTTGAATGTGATTGGAACTTAATTTACTAGTGTCTTTGGTGAGGCCTTTTTCTACAGAGATAAATTACTATAGCTAATACAGTATTTTCTGGGGAGTGGTAAAGGATACCAGCCAGGAGCTGCAGCTACTTAGAAATTATGATTTAAGCATTCATTCCAGTGTTTTCAGAATTCCTATCTCCAAAAACATCACTGCAATAATTTTGAAAACTTGAAGAGATATCTAAAAACAATAAGCTTGGGTCTTTCTAGGAAGCCTTAGAAAAGAAAACTGCCACAAAGCTCACTCTGGCCTGAGGGGTGGGGTGGGGAAGAACCTGAAATAAAATAACTCACAGAAATCTACTGGAAAATTTAAACTCAGGAAAATCCCCTCAAATAACATGCTTGTACAGAGGTATTAGGAAAAATGTTAATCGCAGGGCCTTTGTTTTTATGAAACAAACCAGATTACATCCTTTATCAACTTCACTTGAAAATCAAAATCCATGCTATTCCTAAGCACTTCTTCACCCCCAAACACATCAAACATGGGTTTTATCCAGTACACGTTTGACTATTACCAACCTGTATTACCATCTTAGCAAGAACATTTATTCTCTTTTATAGAACCCTTCCACAGCATTATAAAGCTGATCCACATTGATTAAGCTTGATTTTTAACATGAGAATTTCTAAAAATCTCCTCTTTGCAAAAATAAACTATAATTTATACACCTTTGTTTCGTTCTGGGTCATCTTTTCCCTTCTTTATTAGTCGTCAAAATTATTGTAATGGCTAGACCACTGTTGAAAGATTCATCTGACATTCTTTCTTTCTGTAGCCCAGGACTTAAACCTGTCTTGTTATTAAAATTCATTTTATAAACTTGAGCTCTTAAGAGTTGGAGCAAAGAGAAATACTGTTTTATAATTTCGTGAGAGTGTTTCATCTGCTATTGTGTTGTGCAGGTGAGTTGATGTTCCTGTTTAATAATTACTCCTGGCCCAGGGTCTCCCTTTATGAACATTAAATAATATCTCACGTCATGAGAGTGTTCATTATGCAATGAGTTGTGCTTATTCACCATTTGGCAGCTCCTGTTCCTCATGGAAAAGAGAGCAAAAAAATAGTCCTAGAGAATCTCTTTAGTCAGCTCTTTTATCATTGTACCTAGTCCAACATTCACATTTCAAAGCTGTCTGAAACTGTAGTCTTAATTAACTTTTAGAACCACGCATCCAAGCTTACAGATGAATATGTTTATAAAATATGCATACATTATTGGGGTATCTGTTCTCTTTTGTCTTGTCAACTGGGCTAAGTAGGATTGTATGCATATATTGCCTATCACACAAATCTGACTTTTACCTCTGACTTTCCTCTCTCACTGTTTATGGGTGAACTTACTTGACCATGTAATGTCAATTTCACTATTATGTTATTTGATATGTACTTTGTTACCATCTTAGATTTCTGCCAGCAAAATACATAAATTTAAAATGAGTGCTTACAGAAATAATAGGTATGTGTCTGATATTGGCCTTTTATGATTTCCGGATTAACTATTTTCTTTCATTCTTTAATTAAAATAAGTAAACATGCTATTCATTATGGTATGAAACCAGTATAATTTCTTTTGAAAAGCAATATATTTTACAATGTGTGTCTCAAAAGTAACTATGTTAAAATTATAAATGCCTGCCCTAAAAAGCAATCTAATTCATAGTTAATAAAACAAAATTGTTTTGCTTTTTTAATGCGAGCAAGATTCCCAATGAAAGAGTGTATTTATTAAAAATATGAGACACATAATTATTAAATGAAAAAATGTATTGGCCACAAGTCCCATTCTTCCCCCATCCTTTCACTGACGCTACAGCAGTTTTATCTGTCCAAGGAGATGGCCTCTATTGTCAGTAAATATGGACAGCAAATAATTATGATGATATAATTACATTATTTCTTCTTACAGCTGCCTTTTGAGGTCTGTCAGCTCCTTTACTTCAGGAAACGTAACCTGAAAAATTCCTTCACTTGCAATACCCATGTATGTCCCGCATCTACAAATAGTGCATGCTCAAAAAGTGTTTGTTGTTGATGTGACAGTAACTCATATGATAGACTTGGGATATTTTCTGCTTCCAATCAATAACTAATTTAATAATGTTTTCCTTTGTCAATAATGTCTCTGTTTTCTTACAGCAAAGGAAAAAAATAATTGATTGGTTTATTATTTTTGATGTATGTTGAAGATTTTTAAATGATACCTATTTAAACCTAATTTTATAATTTACTACCTCTTACACAGTTTAGTCAGTAAAAATTATCTGGTAGCTGGTAAAATGCCAAAGAATAATCTCATAATGATGATTGAAATAGAGTGCTGGGCCATATGACGCTAACATTACTTAACAGCTTTCAATTGGAAACATCTAATTTAAACTTTTCTTTTTCTTGGTGGGGATTTTCACAGCAAATTTGCCAAACAACCATTTTAATATGGTCTTTGAAATGTATTTGATTTAGGTAACCATTGGGTTAAAAGAAATAAATGATGGATAACATAATTAAATTCTAACCCAACAGTGTTTATAAAACAAAAATTAACAAGCTAAACCTCTTGTTGTTTCAGGTATTATCATACTAAGTTACAAGATTCATAACCTAACTTTATTGAGTGTAAAATATGTTTCATGATATTTTCATGATCTTATTTCATAGTTATTATTATTAAAGTTAACCTCACTGCATGGGCCTCCGTAAAGCAATTTCCAGCAGTGATATTTTTAAACTTTTCACATATAACCCAAAAAGGGAGTATTTTGATTAATCTAAAAGTGTTTCTCCTTTATAAACAGGCAAATCAACATAAAATGCAGTCAGATAAAACTGCATGTAGATCATATATATATACACACACACATACACATATCTACCTCCTATTTCAAGTAAAAACCTATATAATATTTCAAGTGTATCACTTCCAATTTCTGCACAAATTCATAAAGTGTTATTGAGTAGCTCAATACTTTCCATGAATGTTTCCCTATTATGATGGTAAAGAAAAAAAAGGTACAGAAAAGCTAAAAATAAATAGTACTCTGTTTTTAGAACATTCTATCACACTCAGAAAACTAGAACATTTATGAAGTTACAAAGTGAATAAACTACCCAAAAAAGTAGCACTGAAAGAAAACAGTACTGCAAATAACTTTATTCTGCATCTCACTTATATTTGTGCATTACCTTTCAGCATATCAACAAACAGGCCACAAGGGTCTACTGCAGCTCGCTGTTATTTTTATTCTTCAGGCTTCACTGATACTTTAGTGCTCTCAAAGAAAGACAAGAAAATCTTTACAACATACCTGATCATTTATCTGGCATGCAACGAGGTTGTGCTGATCATAACAGCCAGCGAACCTGATGTACTTGAGCCAGCTTCCTACATCTGGTTGACTAGCATCTATGCAGAACTTCACATTGCAAAACTCATCTAAGATCTGGAAGGAAGAAGATGAGAACAATCAATTTCCATATCAATTCATTCTTTAGAATGGTTAATTGCTTGAAAATATTTTATTCAAGTGTATAGTCCTCCTTCAAATCCTGCAAAAAAATAGTCAGGCAGTATGCATATTAATAGAGGAGGAATAACAATAAGTTATCTTAGAAGCAGCAATGTACTATTTTTTTAAAAGAACAAAGCAATTGTACATTATTACAAAAACTGATCAATTGATTTTTTAAAATGCTTGTTTCCTTGTTATGCATGAATGACTGCTATTGACTTAATTTTACTCCACGTGATTTTTATAAAAAATAATATTGAACAGCACATATTAACCTAATATTTCTAAACTAGACAATGTTTTAGGTTCAGATTACCTTCCCATTAAGCATATACTTTCACATTTTTGCCCTTTAAATTAATTCAGTTAAAAAACTTTAAATATTACTAAATTCCTTTTCACTTTGCATTTCACCACCATGAAACAATTAATTCACACCGTTAATGGAAGAAGATAATAAGATTTGTCTCATATTTGTTTGTTCCTGACCAAACTTAAGAAAAATAACTGAAAACAAATGATTGGTAAACACTCATGTAAAATATGGCAATCTAATGTTTTAGTTAATACATGTCAATGCATGTTTTAATTTTATGTTTAGTAAGCAAAATAACAAAACTGACTTGTGAACAAGTAAAAAATATATAGTAATATTGTAATAAATTACCATCATTATCTATGGCTGTGTATTATTATTTTTCATGAGATTTTACATTTGGCCTATCCTGAATATTAATCATTACTTAGGATACCTTAAACAAAAATTGAAAGGAGAAATGTCCCTTCTTAAGGTTTTGCATACTTACAGGAAGCTATCCTGATTCACTAACAGCAATACTGTTTTAAACATCAATATTAAAAACTGCAGAGTTGTTGACCTAATGGCAAGTAACTAGAAAGGCTGCTAATGTTAATGTCAATCAGTTAATGCAAACTTGAGGAAGTTTCCTATCACAGACTAAATAAGACAGTCCAGAATAAAAAGTAAGGCATTAAGTAACTCCCACAGAACCCTGTTGTATCTACACCTATGTGAAAGTAAAAACTAAACTCTTGGATATATAGACCAAAAGTAATCTTGCATAGAATTCAGATAATCACCTAGTTGCAGATTCAACTCATTAACTTACCCAGAAACTTCAAGAAGAAGCCCAGTGCTCTGAGAGCTCTTAGTCAAGAGGCATTATGAATAAGCCTTTGGCCATGAGGCAATTAAAAGGCAGTAAGTAGTCCCACAATTTAAAAAAGAAAAATCAAAACAGAAGATAGGGATAATAATTGCTACACACACACACACACACACACACACACACACGAACACACACATCAAATCTTTTCAAGACACCTCTTCACACTACCAGAAAGTCTACATTAAATACCCTTTCTAGTGAGACAGACAGATATTAACAATTTCTAATTTTTAAAATTACAAACTTTAAGTTGTTTTCTTCAACTCTCAGTGCTGAGTGACTCTAATAGCAACTTGAGATTCCCCCCCCCCCCCCCCCCCCCCCCCGCAGATGTCTATGGGGAGCATAAATAACAGCAGCAATACACGTTTTAAAATAGTAAAAAGTTGGGATTTTTGTTTCGTTTGTTTTTTGTCTGTTTAGTTTCTGGTTTATCTTTTGTTACTTGTTTTCTTGGCTAGCAGGAAAAAAAGGCAATTCTACTCACACACTAGAGAAATATTTAATGAAGGAAATAGGTGAAGTCAGTGAAATGCAACACCAGTTCCATTTCATATTTGCAGACAGAGGTGGAAAACTTGTTAATTTTAAAGTCAAGCATCATCTATCCCCTTAGCTTTTGAGCATTCCCTTTTGCGGGGGCAGGGAGTTAAGTATTGCATATACTGCACATAAAAATTCTAGATGTAATTTTATTCCGTGTTAACATTATTGCCATTGCCACTGTCAACAGTGAAATTAATTTTTAAAAACAGGTTCATTTCCAAAGAATGTCTTTTTACATATATGTTACATGATTATTCAAATATTTCACCAACATATTAACTTTCTTACTCTCAATATTCTTGCCCCAAGACAAAAGCTGAACTTTCTCCAGAAACGTTTCCCCACTGGGTGAATTATTCACTTTTGATTTGCTAGCAGAACTGCATTTGTCTCCCAAATGTCTTAATCGTCTCGGAAATCTCGAATAAAATAAAGTAAGAACACATCTTCCGTCATTTCATCTAACACACTCCTGTGTTTTTAAAAGCTGTCAAGTTCCAAAGATAGTTAAAAAAAAAAAAAAAAGAATTCCCTTTAGGTGGACTGTAGAGAAAGGCCCTTTCAAAAAACCAACAGCAAAGGGAAAGAAAAAAAAAAAAAAAACCCACAATCTAGCCAAAGGGTCCGAATGTGACTTTCTCGCGCAGCAGCACACGATGTTGGACAGCAAAGCTGTTACTTGGCAAGGTGGAACTCGGCCGAAAGCGGCTCCAAAGTCGCGTGGCCGGTGCCAGGAATTCAGATTTTGGCAACCCCACCTTCTGCGTCCCTGATACCGATGGACAGACACACGGAGGGAGGGGAAGTAGGAGAAGAGCGAGAGGAAAAAAGGCCGACAGCCGGCAGAGAGACCCACCGAAGGCCGGACGACCCACCCCGGAGACGCGTCCAGACCGCACCGTTCCACAGGAGGAACAAGGAAATCGCCAGTCCCAGCAACGTAGATAAGCAGCAGGGCTCCGCGAGACTGCGGGCAAGTAGGAAAAGAAGGCTGGGGGGGGGGGGGGTGGGGGGGGGGGGGCGCCCCGGAGAAGGGGTGCCAAGGCAGGAAACTGTCCGAAGTTACAAACTATGCACATCGCCAAGACTTTTTTTTTTTTTAAGTGAATTCTCTTACCTTAAGATTTCTATGGCCTCAACTCAGCAATAAAAGGCAATCACAGAAGAATTAAAACAAACAAAATAAAATTATCAGCAGCCCCCAGCTTTCCTGCACGAAAATCCTTTCAAACCATCCCGAACCACATTTCGGGATGTTAAAAAAAAGAAAAAAGAAAAAGAAAAAAAGAAAAAAAAAAAGAAAAGAAAGAAAAAGAAAAAAGAAAGCCTCGCGTCTCGATTTCCGAATAGGTCTCTGATAACTTTGTCCGTCTCTAGGATCTGCTCGCCAGGACCACGCGTTTCAGATTTATTGTCCGCCAACAGTGTATTTTTAAGACCAGAAATGAAGTCTCCTCTCGTCTGGGTGACCCGGGTTTGGTGTGTTTTGGCTTTTTTTTTCCCCCTTCCTAAATGAGCTCGGAGCTATTCCTTCTGGTTCACATCACCTCCCTCTTTTCTCACTTTCTCTTGCTCTTATCAGCCCGATGTGTAATGAAAGTTATCTGAAACCCACTAAAACTTCTTCCACTTCTCTCTCCCAGTTCCAAGGGGGGGAAAACAGGCAGGAGGAGGAGAGTTTGAAAAGGTGGGGGGCCTGGGGAAGCGAGGGGAGCGCTAGCCCCCTTTTAGATCCTCCGCAGCGCCTTCCCCAGTCCAGGACCCTCACGGGATCGTCCCCTTTCGCAACTCCAAGCGCAGCCGCCGGGTTTCTATTTCATGAACTGTCTCTTTAAAGAGGATCTGCTCGGCCATCCAGAAAGAACCCGGGGCGAGGGAGAAAGGGAGCTATCTCCCGCCGCCCAGAGTGATCGGAAGCCAGACGGGCTCCTCTTTCAGTAAATTTTTAAAGTGACAGCAGCCTCCTCTGGCGGGAGAGGTCACAAAAAGGTCGCCAAGACCCAAGTCCTATAGGGACAGACTGATTATGGATACACCATCCCCCTTAAACATGTAGATTTCTCCGGGTAAACAACCAATGGGGAGATCTCGCCAGGCAGGATTTCTTTCCCTTGGGAAATATCCTCTGTTTCGACGTCCTGAAAGCACAAGTGTTGAGAGAGAGAGAGAGAGAGAGAGAGAGAGTGTGTGTGTGTGTGTGTGTGTGTGTGTGTTGTGTTGGAGATGTCGTAGATGGCGGATGGGAGTGAGCGGGTGGATAAGTGCTTTGGGGGGGTGTGAGGGTGTAGGCACCAAAGCTGAGGGTGGGGCTCTGGAGGGAGCAAGAATGAAGTTTAGGGTAAAGAGACACTGGCTCATGCTAAACCTAGTAATTAGTTTAGAAATTCTCAGAAAACAGCAGCCTAACAGTGAAAGTTGACATGTCCATTTCCAGTTTTCTGCTAAGCATCTTTTCTAGTGATTATTACTGAAATTCATACTCTGTTCCCTCTATTATTACAGTTAGGTCAGCTGAAGAACATGCTACTTTTCCAAATCATATTTTTCTTAAAGGAAGTAATTTAAAAATTTGAAACATTTTTTGCATATAACCTGCCCAAATAGCATATTAAGGGCTTGGAGAGATTGACAATTATCTGGTGAGCTTTTGCCATATTCTATGATACCTTAATTAAAACACCATGAATGTCTAAAAGTAGAATTAAGCAGTTTGAGAACTCAGGTTATTTTTAAACTTTTAACATTATAAATGTTGCTTTGGGGGATCAGTACTGTACGGTGATTAATAACTTTTTAATATATATGATCAATTTTTATCAAAACATTTCAGAAACACAACTGGGAGAAAGAATATAGGGAATGCGTGACAGATAAGAGTCTACAAATTTACCTTTAGCCAACCTTGGAAAATTTAGTAAAACCCACCGGTTAAATGGAAATTAAATGTTTTTTTATCACAAAACTCCATTCATAAAAACAAATGAACAAATCCAACTTCTCAGCTCAACAATGGAAAGTGAAGCAAAGTAAGCAAGTCAAGGGACCCTCGAGGGGGAGGGGTGGAGGGAAAGGCTATGGAAAGCGCACTTATGTTAAACTTTATCAGCAAACGGGGACAATGCCAAGTCCCCTTTTTGTTTTCTCCAAGTGCAAACAGACGTGTAAACCTAGTAGATGTATATCTCCCCAAAATGCTGATTTAAAAACAAAAATAGTAACAAAAGGGAGGGATGTGGGAGAGAGAAAATGACAAGAGGTGGTGACTAATTCGTTTCGGTGGCCTGTTATCTGTGACATTGAACTGTTACTTCAGATAATGGCCATTGTTTGAGGGAAAATCGCACAGCAGTGGTAGGTAGGACAGGAAAAATCCTTTGTAAATAACCTAAAACCCGGTCAGATATTCCCATAGAGTTCGGCGCTTGAGAACCTTTAAGAGCCCCGGGTTTGCTGCCATTGATTTCCTGCCCTTCCTCAACTTGCCCATTGTCGGAGCTTTTTTTTTTTTTTTTTTTTTTTTTTTTTAATTTAGCCATAAATTGGACCGGCTCAAGCTATGAGCTGTTCTATTTTCTTCCTGTCAGGATGAGGGATTTGTTTTATGATGCATTGTGTATTAAATACAAGTAATCTGGGGAACCGATTGCTTCAGACAGTGCGGCCTGATCAGGGGGTCTGAGAGCTCAGCGCCCCAATCCCCCACCCCGGCCCCGCGGCCCCCGCCTCCTTGCCCTTTACAAAGCGGCTCTGAAAAGGAGGAAACGTCGGTGGATAAACAAAAGGTCGGGTAGAATCAGTGGAAGGTCCTGGCTAAATTAGGATTTCGTGGAAAGGGCCTCCGAATTTTTTTCCCTTATATTGGGTTTGGGTGGGGGAGGCGGGGCGCTTTCAAGGTCTGAGTACTTGCAGATGCGGCAGGAGGCCGGTAGATGGCGTTGCGCCCCGAATTAAGGCGCTGAGACTGCGGCTTCGGCTCCAACCGCCCAGGTGAACCGGCTACCGCCCGCAAGGCGCGACCCTCCGGCTTTGCCCTGCGCCTAGCGCGTGGGCCCGCCCGCGTTTTCCGAGCTCCTGGCCGAGTGCACCCGGCAGTCCAGACAACGCAGACACCGGCCTGAGCAAGGGCTCGCTGTACGTAAGACATTCACTTCTCCAAACAGAGCCAAAAGAGTAAACGCCTTCTCTCTGAAACCTTGGAAGATTTATCTAGAGAGATGGGGGATTATTTAGCCTCATCATTATTATTTTATTAATATCGTCATCAGTCTTGCTCTCTACTGAATAACTTGTGAGAAAGGCTAAGGGAAATCATCAGAAGGACCCGGGCAAACACTAAATATTAATCTCTCTCCCTAGCCCTCCCTCTCCGCGCCCCCCCCACCATGCCCCCTCTCTTGTTTGATTATATAATAACTTCGTGTAAATACAGAGTCCCCTCACTTTTTCCGGACGACACAGCTGGAAGTTTAAAAGTAGGGTCCTGAAATCCCTGGGTCGTGAGATGGGCCTCATTTCTCATGGAAGGAGCCTCTGGCTGTTTCAAGAACCCCTTAGGAGAAGACCCTGACCCACCTCCTCCCACCAAAAGTGAAACAGAAGAGGAGACCGAGGGCTGGAGAAGACTGCTGCAAGGGGCTTGTTTTTTCTCCCTGGTTAACTTGCTTTCCATCAGGAGGTTTCTAAAACAATAAATAAATACAAGGAGCCAAATACCACCACCAATTCCCTTTATTCCTTGGGATTTCTGGTGAAATCTGTTTACAGTAGTTCCCGGTTACAAATTAATCTGCAAAAGCCGCTGTCTGCTCAGCAGTAATCAGTAACATGCGTGTTCTGCAGTGTTTAGCGCTGCCCTTGAAATGGGCTATTAAAAATAATGGTTTTACTATAATCTCAAACCAACTTTAATTTGCAAACATGTATCAGGACAAATGATCTAAATATTAAGGGAATGGAGTGGAAGAATGTACTAGAACAAATGTATAGCTCTGGGGAAAGCAGAAAATAGAGTGATTCATCAGCAAAGTTTAAAAAGAGAATCATACTTTTAAAACATTTTTTTCCCAGAAGGAATTAAAATGTTTTTTTTTTCTGTCTCATTCTGTTAATTGTTGTTTACCAGGAAAAAGGCACTGGAAAATATGAGGTTCAAGTGTGAGTTGATAGATTTTCTGGGAGCTGTAAAGATCCCCCTTTGGCTGATGGCAGGGCTGAGGTGGGAGAGGTTAATGTGTTTTCTTCCTGGTTTGAAAGGGCATAAACCCTCCTCAGGCCCCTTCCTTCCTCCCCCATCTGTGTGGATTGCAGAATCTTTAAAACGCTCAAAGATTTCCAATAAGGCCACTGGCTCTGCCTTCATTGTGTAACTGTTTATTTAAAATAAGTCAATATATTAGTTAAAGCAGTAAGAAGTTAGTGCTCCAGTATTCAAGTGATTCCCACAAGACTGTAAGCTGATGCCTCTTTTAAGCCTTAAACTTCATGGTTGTCCCAGAAGTAAAAGTTCTGCTAATGGAGACCCTATGGGCATGGTACATTCCAGCACATCATTAAAGGAAAGAAAAGCAGTCCAGCCAAAGCCAGATGAAATAACTGCACTGTCCACTTTTAATAGGCTTCCTGTGGACAAACAGCCCTGTAACACTCTGCAGAGGACAATATTTAAAAACAAGACAACTTGCTGGCAGTTTTCAATACCATAAAGTTAATAAAGTATGTTCCCATTCACCCTGACATTATGTTTTTAGTTTATAGAGGAAGGCACTTTATAACCTCAGCCTAAGTAGAGTTCCCTTAATTCCACAGCTTTGGGTTTCTCGAGGTGGCTAAATATACACTGAAGTCTAAGCCTGACATTTTTGTTTTAACACTTTTTTTTTTTTGGTAGCTTTTCAAGAACATACAAGTGCATTTTTACATTTCTCAAGTGCAGTTTCATTCATGGAGATCCTGTTAAATCTTGTTTCATACAGTTCACATCAAGAAGCATGAAATAATCTGAGAAATTGACATTTGGCCGAACAATAACTGCCTGCTAATTAAATTAGCTTCATGTATAGATATTGATGTGTGTTTAAAAAGAAAATCGATGCTTCCTTTTCCACATGGGAATAGGATTTTGTAAAATTTGACTTAACTGAGACAAAGATAAGAAAAATACATGTCTTTAGGATTCAAGACACTCCCCACTGATTCTCATATAAATATTTTTCCCAATACAGAAACTCCAATTTGTCTCTCTTCTTTCCCTCCAAATTCTTGACCACCTACAAGTTCTTCTCCCAAATCCTTTTACCTGAAGAGTAAGCTTTGTAATGAAGCATAACATCTAGCAAGAGAAACTAGATCAGAAAGCCATGGAATCAAAGGTCATATTTTGTTTAATTTTAGTTTATATGTTTTAATCAGGGAAGTATCTCACAGATGGGCCTCCTAAATTTGAAGGTGAATTCTGTGGTCCTGGGTAGGTAGACCCCAAAAAAACAGTCTAGCACAATAAATTTACAAACAAAAAGGGTTCTGAATGTCTGTAATCACCAACATATATCATCCCTGTTCAGGAAAGATATTTCTGGTCTCACTTGATGGACTTTTTTTTTTTTTTAAATCTATGGGTGTGGGGGAAGAAACTGTTGGGGGAAAAAAAGGAAAAGAAAAAAGGAAATTAAAGGTAAAAAAAAAAAAATGTAAATAAAAAATTTCCCTTGGTCTGGAAATGGGCCCTACTGAAAGCATGTTAATCTCCACCTCAGTAATTTGGTTCTCCAGGAGAAGACAGAAGCCCTGCTGCTGTGCCCTGCACTTCATAAATCACATCTTTATGTGGACAAGGTCAGGGCACCTAACAGCTCAGACATGGGCCTTTGCAGTGGCTCGAGGATTCAGGCATGTTTACTCTCCCGCTTGGCTCTCCGAGGAGTAGTCCAGCACGCTTCTAATTACTTTTGATTATTTTCATTTGCTGGGGTCAGTCTGGCTTGCCAGGACTGCTGGAGGGTTGATTTCCTACAAATCTTGATGTCTTTGTAGGACGGCACTGTGTGCGTTCAGAATTAGCACCCTGTTATTGTCCCTACAGCATGGGATCCTTCATAACAGATACTGTTATATAAAAGTTTCCCCAGTGAATACTTCTTATTTTATTAATTAACTACACGAGCATTATCACCTATCTGATCTTTAAAAGAAAAAAAATTGCAGATGACTTGCTTACCAGTTGAGTGTTTTATAGTATATTTGGCCAGAAGGAAAGTGAATTTCTTTTTCTTTCTTTCTTTCTTTTTTTTTTTTTTTTTGCTTTGACTTTAAATATATTTAGTAATGACTAGCAGCTCTTTGGAAACTAAGATGAAATACTTTGCTGAGACAACAGCTCTAGTGAATAAATTACTATAGTCAGAGATTTATTTCCTAAACTCCAATTAAGACTGCCATATTTAAAATATTTTTTGTTGGGCTATTTTGATGTATTTCAGGCCTAAGCTATTATGCTGAGTGGTTATTTTGTGTGTAAAGCACAACAACAAAAAATTTATACCAAGTTTAAATGAAAACACTGTTATAAAAACTTGAATAAAATATAGTAAAATTTTGGTAGAGAGAGAGACAAAACACCATTATTTTTCTCTTCTTTATCCACCCAAAAAAGAAATGGTTAATGATCTGATGTGTATACATTGAAATATGCCTTAAAAATGATGAACAAATAAACATTCACAAAAACTGAAAAACAGATATTCACCAAGGAACATATAACACATCAATCTGGTTGTTCGGAAAATAAGCATTGTAGATCACTGAGTGAAAAATTACTATTATATTTTCTTTTTATAGACAATAACTTGGATCATGATTATAATTAGTCTCAAAAAGCCAAATCCCTCATTCTTCCTAACTTTTTAGCTCAAAGAATGAAATGCTCTTAGCCTTAACCTCAACTCTTTTAAGAATTTACTTCTTTTAATTATTTTATTAATTTTAATTAATTCAATCTTTCAAGACATTATTTAGCACATTACACAATAACTTTAGGGTCAGCTTCTTCCCTGAGGCTATAAGAACACCATTCCAATGTGCTTTTAGACTCACAGTTTTGTGGGGAAAGTGAGTTGGAAGACATTATCTACTCCTTTCTCCACTCATAGCTATGTGTCTGTGGGTAAGTCACTTAACCTTTGAGTTGGTTTCCATGAAAGTTTCATAATATCAGCCCAACAGGAGTGTTGGGAAAATAAACTGGGTAATGTGAGTATGAACTACTCTGAGTTCATGGGAACAAGTCAAAATACTGTACGTTTTGCAGTATTGGTGTTGGGATACTGGGTTGGAATAGACTTACATACACATGCAGTGAGGAAAACAGTCTAATCTGTATTTTGAGGAATGGCAAAATATAAGTATTTTTCTATCCTCTTTCTTCCATTTCAATGCCAGTTGCCCTAATCCTTACCCTGACCTATGGAACAGAAGAATTTGAAGAAAAATGTTTTTCCTCTCTCAAGCTGTGGTACCCCCAAAGATGTCTGTCTCTGTTTGGCTTGCAGCTGAGTTCGTTCTCCACCCCCACCCCCACCCCCGCTCCCCCACTGTATTCTCTGCCAATCAGTGAGAGAGCTCTGAGGCAGAGGGAAAATGCCATTGAGATTCAAGATCCCTAAAGACCAGGTTAGGCAGCCACGCACACACGTACACACACCCAAACACACACACATCTAGATTAGTTTTAGGTCAATGTTTATTACCAAGGCCAGGAAATTTATTCTCTCCTGTGTCCTCTGGTGGGCTCTGAGTGCCAGAATAGCAAAGATTGGGTCTATCTTATTTGCATTTATTGCCCAGAGCCCAACTCAACACCAGGCATACAGTAGGTATTCAGTAGATGTTTGCTGAAAAAATATACCAGGACCTTTCTTGATTTTCATTCCCACCTAGCTTGGAAGCCCAGCTTGAATGCCTGTTAGCTCTTGTCTGAATTACTGCAATGACCTCCTAAAAGATCATCTGACCACAGCTTATCTTCCCACCAGTTTATGCTCAATGCTGTTCATCTTCCCAAGTATCAGCTATTAATCACTCCCCTGTTTAAAATTCTTCAGTGGGTTTCAGTTGTCTAATGCAGTATAAACTCATCCCATTTTTGAAAATTATATAAAGCCATATATGAAAATCACGTAGAATCATGTATGGTGCCTAGCATATGGTCAATAAAAAGTTATTATTATTGATATTACTGAAATAATTGTTATTATAATCATTACCTTCCTCAGCCTACAAGTCATTTTGCTTTGATTGTCTTGGATAAAATCTTATCTGCCCAAAGACCCCTCCATTTTATGCCCTGTGATTCCCACCAACCAAGTTTGACCTTTTCATCATTCACCCCAAATCATCTGTGCTTCCCTCCTGGTTTATATCCAGTTCTATCTTACCTTACAGTAGTATCTCTAATGTTCCTCAGTGTTCATTATTAAAATCATCAAAAACCCTCCTGAAGGGTCATTATAAGATTCATCAAGATAGAATCAAGTTTTATTCATGCTGACATCTTCAGCAGCTTCTTTTCATAATGGGCTGAAACCACCTCTGAACTTTCCTTGCAAGTGTGAATTAAGCATAGCTAGATGTATGAGGAATTGCTACATTTACTATCCAAGACAACTGGACTACTTAACATTGTTCCCCATGGGAATCAACTGATGAACTGATAAGTCTCTTTTAGGGAATTTTAAGATAGAAATTCCTACCACTGCTATTTTACCTACTTCATTGCTCCCCATCACTCAGATGTCTGTTTCTGTACCATCTGCCCTTTACCTGAGTGCCAACCTGGACAACATCTTGGACTTTTTCCTTTCCCTTATCCCCAGTAAACAGTCATTGGCTTGGTCAGTCTGTTCAGTTGTTTCCATGGGTCCTTCACCTTCCCACTGGCACTGGCCTGCTGGAGGCCCTTGTCATTGTAGGCCGGAATTTTGTGACATCTTTATACCAAAAATACGCCTTCCTGGAATAATGAAGTTATAAAAATGTTCTACCTTTAAAAACAAAAAAGGTAGAAAACAAAGAAAAAACATGCTAATAAAGATTCCAATGGACCCTATTCTGCTAGAGAAAAAAAGCCCCTAATCCCAAATACAATCTCCTCTCTAATTTGGTTCAAATTTATCTTTCTCAGCCCATTTCCTGATTATTCCCTCTAAACAAATCTTCAGCTCTGGTTAAAGCTAAGGATGTAAGCAGAATCATTTGGTCCTTTAACTGTGTTCATGTGGGCTCTTCATGTTTCTTTGATAGTCACAGCATTCAGGAGATGAAACAATAGCAATAATAATTCTATTTGTCAAGCTCATACACAGCGCTCTAGACACCCTTCCTTGAAATTCTTACAGTACTCATTATTAAAATCATTCACTGGTCAGTCCTCATATTTAGGGTCATTTGGAATATTTTTGTTATTTGCCAATCTACCTATAGGCTGTTTAATGGCAAGAAACACCCTACACACCAGCATTTTCTAATCAGTGACTGGTTAACAGGTACTCCCTGGAAATGTGTTCTATGGTTAAATAAGGTGATAACTCCCATTGGGGCTTCACAATGAACACCAACATGGTAAATGCTCTAAGACTCTAAAAGCTTCAGTAAAGAAACCTTTTGACTTGTTTAATGGGGCATCAACAAAAATATTTAAACACAAATGGAAAGCCCCTTGCCCTTTCCACTGGGACACGTAAGGGAAATAATTTTATGTTACTTTGCATCCGTTTCAGCAAAGTATAAACTTATTCTTCTAAATATTTTTTCTATCCGTTGACTATTTTTAACTCTTGATCAAAAATGTTACTTCAAAATTGTAATAGAGGAAAAGACACAAAAACCAAGGCTCAACTTTTCATTCAAACTGAAAGCATCTGAAAAGTCTATCAAGCTCCCAAGAGAAGTAGGTTATCAGTAAACTCTAGCCAATTGATCCTCGCCCTGTGAACTGCTCTAATTGTATTTGAGAGTATGGTACTGAGAGCCTTCCAGAGGAATGTGTGTAATCTCATTTTGAAATCAACCCACTCTTTCCTATCCTCTTCCATTACAAGCTCTCCTCAAGCATAGATTTTACTATGGGCATATTTACACACACTGTTTTACATTATTTAGGCTTTTCTTAATAAGATTTGGCATTATTGGGGCGCCTGGGTGGCTCAGTGGGTTAAAGCCTCTGCCTTCGGCTCAGGTCATGATTCCAGGGTCTTGGGATCGAGCCCCGCATGGGGCTCTCTGCTCAGCAGGGAGCCTGCTTCCCCTCCTCTCTCTCTGCCTGCCTCTGTCTACTTGTGAGCTCTCTCTCTGTCAAATAAATAAATAAAATCTTTAAAAAAAAAAAAAATTAAAAAAAAAAAAAAAAAAAAAAAAAAAAAAAAAAAGATTTGGCATTATCTAGATCTGTACTTCCCCAGGAGGGGGAAACAAAAAAAGCAGCAAGTCAATCTCATTCTAAGAATCCCTGAATTAAATGTTTAAGAATTTGCCTTTTTTCTAGTTTTTGGTATTGGATTCATGTGTTGTGCCTGCAGATGGCTGCCTAGCCACTAAACTAAGTGGACATTAAATCAGATGGCATACAAAATTACTGGAATTTGATCTTTAGATAAACCACAAACCTTGATGAACTAACGTTGTTCCAGATGAATTAACTCATCATCCTGAGGAACAGAACATTTCACAGGAGCGACCACACAATCTTCTTTGTAAAGAACACTAATGACTATGATTAGTTTGTCATCTATTGGAAATGCTTGCTTTCTAACTAGAGAGGCATACACCGAACAGGGAGTTCTGGCCCCAGAATTAACACTCCACTCCAAAGCTTTGACAGTGTGTGCTGATTTTATGACATGTTTGTTACAGAATTATTAAGAAACAATAGGCTAAGTTCTTATCAATGATTTAGTGAAACATTTGTCTTTCTCTATGTTGGAAATTCTCAAATTCCATTTTATTACATCAATGGCCACAGCCAGACACTTTAACAATAAAAAAATTAAAAGAGCCTGGAAAGTGTGTTGGGCTTACAATTCATTGAATGGGTGTCACTCTTTTGAAACATATCAAAGGTAAAATGTCAAATATTCCAACAGTTGGTTAAAGTACCAATAAAATCCCAGTATCAGTATGAATATATGGACATTGATTTCAGCCATGGTTTTAAAAATATCTTCTGTAAATTTTGTTGAGTCAATCTTCAGCATCAAATAAAATCCTAATATATCCTGTCTATAAACTCCAGAATTAAGTACTAGTCAACTTCCAAGATGCAGATTCTCAAAGGTATTTGTGTTTTGATATGTAGTTCTTGGCTGGAAAACAAATCCAGGCTTGCTAATGCAGTGCCCTACAACTAGAATGGAGAATGCCAGAAGGGACGTGAATGGAAATACTTAAAGAGGAAAGAAAAGTATGCACACTGATTCACACATAATTTCTATCCCCATACGATCTGGACTATAAATTTACAAATAAAACATGGAACCCAGTCATAAGATGGAGAAAATTGAAATTATGAGCCTAGGAAGGTAAGATTGAAATGACTACAGATTTTAAATTTTAAACTCATGCTTTTGTGTAATACCACATTGCATCTTATACACTTTTATATTTCTCCGCCCCACTTCCACTCTTATAAGAAGCTAGCAAAGTTCATATGTCCTCAAAAAATGGGTAGATGAACCAAATTGAAATGATTCACTAAATACTCTGGCTATGTAATGTGTTTATATTAATTTTGTGGGTTTTGTTGTTTCTGCAGAAAGTATCATAATAAATGTGTATCATTTCCTATGCATATCTCCTTGGTAATCAATTCTGAACTATTTCAGGAAAGTCATTTGAAGTCTTTACAAAATATATTTTGCTTAATTTTAATCTTGGGAAAGTATCGTGATGTTGTAACATATACATATTCAAGTTACTGATGTTCAACTACTGTGAAGAGAAAGAAAGGGAAGAGGAAGAGAGAGAAGAAGGGATTTTGAGAAAGAGAGAGAGAGAGAGAAAGACTGAATGATCTTTTATCCAGAAAAGAGAATGAGGTGGAGACATGAATCATCTGTTCTCCCAGTAGGAATCAGGCATCAAATGCCTTTTGTGATGAATATCTTGTTGTGTTGAGTGTGTAATTCTCACATTTAGAGATATACACTTCTCACACATGCAGTATCTGAATGCAAATACTATACATCACTTTCTCTGACACTCAACCAAAGCCAAGGTGACTCATATCAACACTGGTGGTTTAAGGGCTGAGCAAGGGAAATTTGGATTACACCTGATTTCCAATTACTTGCTCACTGCAGAATATAAGCCCTCAATAAAATGTAAACTGATTGAATTTGGTTTAGGTTTTAAAAAATATTTCATAGCAGTGACAAAATAAGTAATCAAGACAAATAAATGAATGTATCCTCTATCCACAGTATTTGGGGAGGGCAATGCAACATTTCTTTCCTAATTCTTCCCTGTCCCACCAGATTTTGCTTAATGTTGTCCAGGTGATATGGTGGATCCTGCAGGATTCACATGACCCAGCTGTTAAATCACTCACACCCAGGATGTGTTGTTAACAGTCTGTTTTTGCAAATAACCTGCCTCTTGTATCCTTTAGTAGGGAAGGTGATGGACTGAATGCGGTAAGCTGCCTGAATGAAGCAAGAAGATCTTCTTCCCAGGGCTCAGTAGACCACAGGCTCCCTCCCTGTGAACCTGAGCTCACTCGGGCTCATGAGCCCTCAGTCTCATCTATGGTTTCCGACTAAGCTGTAGCACTCTGATGTGGGAGGTTGCGACGGACTCTTCATCTAGGTATATGATACTGAGACAGTTGCTTAAACTTCTTGATGCAGTCTTTAAAATTATAATAATGGCCCCTATATCATAGGTTATCAGGATTAAACTGGAGATAATGTATATAAAGAACTTAGTATATTGGGGCACCTGGGTGGCATAGTCGCTTGGCCATCTGACTCTTGCTTTCGGCTCAGGTCTGATCTCAGGGTTGTGAGACTGAGCCCCACGTTGGGCTCCATGCTTAGTGCAGAGTTGGCTTAGGTTTCTCTCTCCCTCTCCCTCTTCCTCTCCTCTCCCACACACCCTCCCCTGGCTCATGCTCTTGCTCTCTCTCTCAAAAAATAAATAAAACCTTAAAAAATTACTTAGCATAATGCCTGGTGCAGAGCAGAGACCCATGAGGAGGAAAGGCAGTGTAGTGATTAAAACTGCAGACTAGATTTAAATCACAGCTTCACTATGTGCTAGGCAAGTGACATGTGTCTCAGCTTCCTCATCTGTAAATGAAGATAATAATAGTATCTCATAGGGCTATTGAGAGGATGAAATAAAATAATCCACGCATAGCACTTAGCTCAGCACATAGCATGTAAGCACCTAATAAACATTAGCTATCATTAAAAGGAGTCCTAACTATAAAATAGTTATCCGCTATATAAATGCCTTCTATGGTTTCTTCTTCTCAGACATCCTCACATTCTAAGACAAACGTTTCTTCTCCTATTTTTTGCCACTCAGGTAGAGGTTGTTTCAGAGAAACAGAAATGGAAACACAGAGCACCAGAGAATAACCAAAAGAAGCAATACGAATAAACACTCATTATGGTCCCTAACATTAAATTAAGCTTCCCGATGCTAGTGAGGAGAAGTATTTCCTAAGAGAAGAGTGTCTTGGAGATAGGTGAAAGAAGGCACATGAAGAGAAACAGGAGTCTTCATGATTCTACTGGAAGTCACACATGTTTTTACAGTAAACCTTGAACAGAAATAAGTTTGAATTACAGTTCAGTCATAAGTTGAACTAAGCTACTGAACAAAACAGTTCTTCAAAATGTGGGGGAAATGGGACATGAAGCATTTAAAGGAAAGGAAAGAAGATATGCAGAGTGAGACGCTGGTGTGAAATGCAGAGCATCAGAGTCGAGGGAGTGCCGTCTGCGGCATGAAAATCTGTTCTGTTGGCTGGGGCCACAAATGTGAGTGAGAGGCCATCGGAAATGTATCTCCAAAGCTGGTCAGATCTTCAGATGACCACAGCCACCATCTTCACTGCAACCTGATGAGACCCTGGGCCAGAACCACCCAGCTAGCTAAGCAGCTTCTGATGTCCTAAACCATAGGAACTGAAAATCATGACTGTTTAGTATTGTTTTGAGCCACGAAGTTTGGGAGTAACTTATTATGCAGCAACAGATACAAAATACAGCAGCCAAAGCTCTTTGGTGGATATGGAGAATTCAGTGGCCTGACCTTCAGTCATCAGGGCATTAAGGCCTGTGAAGGAGCACCCCAAGCCTGCACTTGGCCCCAGTGGGCTGTAGCTCCAAAGGGACACTTTCACGCTCTCATCTAACAATACCCACTTCCATTTCTGCTCATGAACTGTTGCTCAATATTCTCATTAGGACTCCCTAGAAGCCATAAAATTAAGAAGCATTAGTGGCTAAGACTTGATAAGGCCTAATTATGGAATGCTTTCCAAAGACTATTGGACTTTAGGCTATATTGGATTGAAAACAGAAGAAGGCAGTCACGACAAGTTTCAGAGTGGTGACATTATGGCAAGATTTCGGAAAGTTTTGTGTTCTGTCTCCAGAGCCATCACATAGGACATCATGGTTTGGGAACATGTACCAGACGAGGGTTAGCTGCTTTGCAAATTCAGACTAATGTTTGTTATCTTTATAAAAGGACTAAGATGTTGATCTTTGAACAAAGAAGTGTCTTGCTAAGCTGTTTACCAGGAGTTGCCCCCAGTTCCAGCCCAAAGCTAGGAGAAAGGCAATACAAACATATCAGTATCAAATGCATAATGAAAAAGAACACTAGCAATTTCTTTCTCTCCCCTTCCGCCCTCCTCATGGACTAGGACCTTGCCCCTTGCCTGAGGTAGCAGGACCTCTCCTAGGAGCTACAACCACTTCTGATAAAGTGGCTGCTGGCTGCCATTCCCAGAGGCTCCCAGAGAGATTGCCAGGTTTGCCTAAGTACCAAGCAAACTATATCAGACGGGACACAGAGCATAGTAGGGATACCCATTATCCTTTCCAAGGGATATACTTTCCACTTAAATTAATTAAGTCACTAAGGTTACAAAACCATGAAAGGGCATGACAAGTAAAATTATCACCATAATAAAACTGAGAAAGGAGATGCAGACATTAGAGAACTTGCCCGAGGTCCCAGTGCTAGTAAGTGCTGACCCTGTAGCTAGAAAACAGAACTTTTTGATTCTTAGCAAATGCTTTTCCCATAGCGCTAGTGGTTCTCCACCTATCTCAGCAAAGAGGCTGGATTTATCTATATATTTTTTTTCTCTCTTCCAGAAAATCTGTTAATTTTATTTATCACTCCACTTCACTTTGATATTTCCTTGTGGTTTTCATTTTTAAACATTTTCTTTGAAGTTTTTCTAATTACAAAAATAATATATGTTTGTTTTGCTAATCAAACAACACAACACAAAGGTGTTTCACTTTTCAGAGGCAATCAATATTCAGTCCAGTTTGTTTTCTTGTGGTATATTGTACATAGCAGTCTACAACTTCCTTTTTTGAATGTGGGAATAGATCACAATCTCTAAGTTAGGAAGTCTATGTCTAATTTGAAGTTCTTTTTCTAATTGCTGTATGCATAAAAAAGACCACATGTACACACACACACACACACACACACACACACACACACATTTTGCATGAACTCTTGGGTTTCAGAATAACTCTGGAATGTCTCCTCTATCACAAACCATGCTCTCCAATGCCTTGGCTCTTGATTCACAGTTGAAAATAACCAAGCTAAACATGCTGCAGGGTAAGGTTTAGAAACCAAAGGAAATAAAAAATTAATATAAACCACTGTCCCTGCTGTTCAGGCCCATGCAATCTATCCAGAGAGACAAGACTAAGCTACTTGAAAGAACAGCAAATAGCATAAGATTGTAAGTCATTAAGTACTAAATTATGTGGCTCAAATGATAAGTGCTACAGAGATTCAGACAGGAGAGAGATGTGTGAAGGCTGGCATGCGAGAGAAGCTTTATGGGACAAGTGAGACTTGTACTCATTCAAAGTCTGGCCAAAAGTGGAAAAGAGTATTTCTGGGGATTTTACTATGTGCTGGACATAAGCTAAATGTATTTTCAATGTTTGCTTCATTGCTTTGATAAAACCCAGAATCTCTATTGTTCCTCAGGTGTATAAAATCATCCCTATACATTTTTAAAATATGATTATAGTATCTTAGGTATGTGTATACTCATGTGTGTGCTTTAAGCGAAGATTAATTTTCTTGACGGATTCAAATGTACCAGGCAGATTTATGCTCAGTGCTGGGTGAATCTGTTAACATAAATTAGAGTAACATTGAAAAATAATTGTTCTGGTAAAAATCTAAAAGCAATAGATGACTCATGAAATTTCTAGGGTAATTTTTTATTAACCTAAGAATAACTGGTAACATCCTTAAAGTACATATCCAGGTATAATGCTTTGTAGGTAAGCTAGACATATCTGATTTCAGAGAATGGGGTTTCCCATATTCTTGAACAACGAAAGACGCAGTCTATGTCATAGTCAACCTATTTGCAATAGTAATTATAACAATAACAAAAATCATGAAACCCTTCCAAATTATAAGCATAATGCCTAAATACATATGCTCATTGCTGTTTTATGTGTGTGTGTGTGTGTGCGTGTGTGTGTGTGTGTGTTGTGATCCCTTTAAAATCAACCCATGGATTTAACTTTTTTGTAAATTGTTTTTTATTATAAATCTTTTTTTAAGACTTACTGATTTATTAGAGAAAGAGAGAGAAGAGGAAAGGGCAGATGGAGCGAATCTTTCAAGCAAATTCCCTGCTGAATGCGGAGCCCCACACAGGACTCAATCTCAGGACCCTAAGATCATGACCCGCACCAACACCAAGAGTTGGATGCTCAACCAACTGAGCCACCCAGGCCCCCAATATCCATCATTTCTTTTAAAGCAAGTGTCTTTAAATATTTTTTTTTTCTGACATCAGTCAGTCTAGTTAATTTTACTCATTTATTCATTCATTCTGGGAAGAAATCAGACATGATCTTTGACAAATTCTCATCTTTAAACCTCCAACGGCAACAATGTGACAAATGAACTGGGGTGCAGCAAGTGGATGCCAGGTGACCAATTAGCAAGCTACTGAAGTCACAGAAGCAAGAGATAATGATAAGATGGTAAGACATATAATAATCATAATACAATCATGTATTAAGTCCCTCTTCTATGTTGAGTGCTTATTATGCATCATTTCATTTAATAACTAACAGGCTATAAGTGATTATTATCCTTGTTTTATAGATGACAAAACTGAACTCAATAAGATTGAGTAAATTACTTGCCCTAAGTCACACAACCGTTAAGTATTAAAGACGGGAATCAAACCCTGATCAATAATGACTGTATATTCTGCTATAACCTCTTCCCCAGACTGCACTACCTCAGACATAAAGACCTGAAAGACTGGTCTCCTAATTTGCCAAAGAAGTCATCTGTCTGATATTGGGAGTTGAAATTCAGGGTCACTCTGAGCCAACCACTGACTGACGGGGAGCCTAAGGGATGCTAACCTCGGTTTAACAAAGCATATTAGACAAATGAAGAAAGAGCCCACAAGGGGCATTTTCAAGACCACTATAAACTCTGGAGACAGCAGTGAATCTATAGAGCATGTAAGTAATTAATGCAGTCATTCTGCAAATGTGAACACAGAGGCCAGAGAAGGGACATAATGTTCCTAAGGCTCAATCATAATCAGAGTAAGGACAAATTTGTACCAATGCTTGGTTTATGGCATCATCCCATTTTTTTCCAATTACTCTCTCATTGATGAATATACTTTAACTGTAGTCCATTAGGAAAAAACACATGAAAAAGAAATTCAGTACTCGAGACAGGCACTTCTTAGAAGTAAAATTTTAATCCACTAAGGTTCTCAAAAGTGACCTCAGAAAGTATATTACCTACCTATCCTCATCTTACGTTTGTCACTTAGATTTGTGTAAAAACATAAAGGTAAAAGTAAAAGAAAACAAAACAATTTCTTATTTTTCTGTCCACAACCATGCATCTGGCATAATAGGGATGCTAGTAAAAACAATGAAATTTGATGTTTAACATTATGTCACTAAACCATAATTATGTCTCTTTGCCCACGGAAGGTGGTTGGAGTTATTAGTGGCAGTTTCCTCCTAAATCCAGAATGCTGGCCCTTGCTATCAGCTTCCTTATCTGATTCTTTACACTGCTTCAAACTTCCTTGTGTTATTATCATCGAAAACCACTTGCGGTCTGCATCCTAGGTGCAAGGCACGGACCCCCTGTTGTATTCTTGTCTAAGCCAGATTCCTAGTAAAGTTTTCTGACAAAAGTTTGTTCTACATAATAGCCAGCTTAAGTTTTGACAGGAAATAAGTTGGTTTACAGAATTAAGTTTTAAAGTAGGAATCAGGTCCTCTGTTTTAAGATATCTTCTGAAACTGCTTAACAAGAGTTCTTCAAGAATTTAGTGAAGACATATATGGATGCATGCAATCAGACAGCAGCTAAGATTTCACCTTAAAACCTTCGGGTAATAGAAATGAAGTGTTTACTGTGCCATTAGAGAACGCATTTGCAGACTGTGACTGTGCTCAGTGAGCGTTTACTCCAGTGAGAAATAAGATGAAAATGCATCACGAAAACAAAGTGAAGTTGTAAAACTGATTAACCCCAGTAACCAAAGGAGATACAGTATAATCAAAATGTTGCAACTGCCCCGGATGGTCAAGCCATCTATAGCATACGAGAAGTTTGTAATTAGTCTATGTTTTTCATCACTAGGAAAAAAATACGGGGTTTGAGATATCATGTTTAAAGCACCTAAAGAACCCGAAGTTGTCATGCTAAATACAAGAGATCTAAAGATCTGCTGTTACACATCCATTACATTTAGTGGGCTGTCCTACTGGCTTTTTTGAAGTGCTATATACATGATCTTGCCGGGCGAAACACTTTATGTACCATACGAAATTTGAGGCATAATGTTTAACGTTCACGAGATAAGTTAACAAAACTCTATGCTGGTGACTTTTTTATTTCCCTGTTTTATGTTCTTCAAATACTTTAAGGAAAGATAAACAAGAAGGTAGGAGAATAAAATGTGCCTTTTCCTTCTACCTTTTTCACTTTCTTTCCTAAATTAAATTACAACTGCTGATTTGCACCCAAGGAAGAAATCATGTTAGAATACGCTGATTTTTTTTCCCCCCTAATGTTTAGATAACAGCTTTCAAAACACAGCTAAGTAAAATGTGTTTTGAGATGGAAAACATTTGGTCTTTTTTGCAGCTTTCAACAGCTTAAGCGAAGGGATTTTTAATGTTCCCAAACAGCTGGGCCATACTATGTATATCATGAATTCCACTCTCATTGAAGGATCCCTTCTCCCGCACTGTGCAGAGGGGTCCCCTTTTTTCTTCCCATTCTTGCTGTTTACCCCTAATAGCTTCCCATTATTATCACAGCTTTCTCATGCATCATGCTTACAACAGTGATGACTGAAACTTATCCTTGAAGAAAACATACACTTTGTCTTAAAAAACTGTGTATTGTTTTCTATTTATTATGTGGTGGCTATAGAAAGCAACAGGTTAATATACATTAGAATAATAATAACAGGATGACAGGGAGAGGAAGATTGCCATTCTTATTTTCAGGTCCCCTTGTAACGTTCTCAAAGGTGCTACTGAACATTCCAGGACACATGATCTGAATTGCCTAAATTTTTATTACTCTCTCAACATCATTCCAAATATATAAGCAAAAGGAGTTTTTGAAGGACAGCTAAACATTTCATAATTATTTTCAAACTCCTTCCCAGGTATAGGGTTGTACATAAATGCATCTAGGTATCAGTATTTATTTATGTGACTGTAAGAACTATGGTAGTGAAGAGGGTGTGGATGGCAATAACACACAATGCCAATTCAACGTGAACAAAAGTAACAAGCGTAAGAGATAAAGCCAAAGTGGCGTAAAATAATTACACGATGCACATGTACTGAGGTGAAGTACATCTTATATTAAACAACAGGCTTATTGTTTTATATCTGAATGACTCAAAACAATAGTTTGTAAGTTTTCATACACTAAACATGCAAGCCATACAAATCTATGTTCATAAATATACTTAAATTATGTAGACTGTTTGGCAAGAAATAAGCAAAATGTCATTGTCTACTTTTATAATCTATTATTTATTGTTTGTTTTCTAGCACGTTTTACTTCTCGTCAGTTTGTCTCTAATGTAGGGGATGAACTGGATGGAAATGTTTCTGCAGCTGCATATTCAACTCCTCTGGTCCTACTGCAAATCTTGGGGCTTTCCAGCCTTTTGGGGAGGCCAGCCGTTTCTAGGTACTAAGGATGGACCGTGAGTGGAGGAAGAGGACATTTCTCCGATATATGACATAACTGATTGGCCAGGGAATTCAAGGTCCCACAAAGTAGAATGCTGCAGTGTTGTTTATCTACTGAGCAGTTAGTTTTACATAATGAGCAACTCTTAATATACAGGTATTTCAGATGATTAACAGCAATTTAAACTGCTTTCACAAATCCTCTATGATTGCTTTTCACCGTGGGTAATCACCCTCCAATCCCTCCTCTGGAAAGTTATTTTGTTCTTGGAATACTGAAAAATTTACTCTATATCTGTAGATAGTCTATACTTCCATGAATTGGCATGCAAGCCTAAGGCAGGAAAATGATTCTGTATGCATGTATGCACATGTAGCTTCAAATTTGTTTTTAATAAAACAATACTTTTTATTGAAACAAAAATGTGTAAATAGCTTTTAAGTACTTGCCCTTCCCAGTTCCATACTTCAATTAACAGAGTTATTATTCCCCTACCTACTAACTCTGATCCTGGAAGAGAATTTGCCTTTAAAATACTCTGTGACATGAAATAAATAAAATAAATGCAATAAATAAAACCCCTGAGAAATGAAAGGGAATAGCAGCTTGTCACATGAAGACAGGGATGGGGGGAATATGGTAATTCTATTGTTAAATAATTTGATCACTTTTAGAGGAATTTTTGAAACCACTTTTAGACTTTTTATAATGAGTTTTTGTTGGAAATGCTTTAGATTCCAAAGCTAACGCTGACAACTTTCTACCTTACAGTATTATCTCTTTTTTTTCCATGCCACTTTAAATTGAACTAGTTAGTTCTTTATTAAATTATGGTATTATTTTATTTTCGTTTGCCTGAGAGATATTAAGTTAAAGAATTGTAGCTGTGAAATTGGTAAATATTGCCAGGTTATAGATTAAAATCCTGCTAGGTCAGATTTGTTAACATCAATTGCACTGTAATTGGTTATGGGCAAATCAAAAAGATTCTAAATTCATTTCCTATGTTAACTTAAAGGTCTATGTTGAACCTATATCTAATCTTTTTTTCCATATCAAAACTGTCTTGGAAACCTCATTAGTCTACTTTGTTAGATTCTTGGTGCTTAAACCTTGTAGTTAGGCTGGGCTATAAATAACCAAATAATACACTGATTTTCATTGAGAGAGCTCTTCTGACTGAAACCAGACAATTAGGAAGTCACACAGAAAAGCTGGAATAAGAGGAAAAAATTCAGATTTCCATACAAGGATGCAACTCTTTAACATATATAAAAATTCAAAGAACATAGTAAAAGCAAAATATCTGTGATTTAAAATAGTATAGTTAAAATTAATCTGCATTAAATGTACATATATTATTAATTGAAAAGCCATGTGGATAAAAATAAAGAAATTATATTTGCTCAGGTTTTGGTTTCTACACTTTAAAAAGTTATAGATAATGTTTTTCCTTCATCTAGTATAAGTCCACTCCCTAAGCCTACGTTAAATTAAATTAACAATTTGCTTTAACTAACAAAAATAGCTATTAAGAAGAATTTGCTTTCTGTTTTATTATTTAACATAGGGAAAAAAATCAAACATGATTTTTAGCAGAAACATAGTTCTTAATATCTTATCCTGGGTCACAGGTGAAATCTCTCCCTGACTTGGACTTGTTAACTAGGTGAAAGACTTGATAGTATGATAAGAAAATCAACACATGGAGTTACCAAAAACAGGTTAAATTTAATCTCATT